GAGCAGAGCTCCTCCCATGTGAGAGCGCCCTGACCAGCAGAGGGCAGCTCCTGCATTGAGCGTCTGCCCCCTGGTGGTCAGTGTGTGTCATAGTGACCAGTCATTCCCAGTCCTTCTGCTGTTAGCGTCAGTTTGCATATTACCCTTTTACTATATAGGATAGAGGCCTGGTGCACAGGTGGGGGCCGGCTGGTTTGCCCTGAAGGGTGTCCCGGACCAGGGTGGAGGTCCCGCTTGGGTGCCTGGCCAGCCTGGATGAGGGGATGATGGCTGTTTGCAGCTGGTCACACCCCCTTCAGGTTGGGGGTCCCCAATGGGGTGCCTGGCCAGTCTGGGTGAGGGGCTGAGGGCCGTTTTCAGGCTGGCGGGTGACTGAAGCTCCCAACCTTTCCTTTTTTTCTTTTCTTTTTTTATTCTGGGATTTATTTTTTATTTTTTTTTAATATATTTTTTTATTGATTTTTTTTTTACAGAGAGGAAGGGAGAGAGATAGAGAGCCAGAAACATCGATGAGAGAGAAACATCGATCAGCCGCCTCCTGCACATCTCCCACTGGGGATGTGCCCGCAACCCAGGTACATGCCCTTGACCGGAATCAAACCCGGGACCTCTCAGTCCGCAGGCCGACGCTCTATCCACTGAGCCAAACCGGTTTCGGCAATTCTGGGATTTATTTACCTTCTATGGCTGTCACTGGAGCTGAGAGCCGGCTTTAGCTCTGAGGCTCGGCTCCAGCTCTGAGACCTCGGCTGCTGAAAGCAGGTATCTGGGCTTTGTTTAGCTTCTATAATTGAAACACTGTTGCAACTCCAGCTCTGAGGCCCGGCTGGCTGAAAGCAGGTTTCTGGGGTTTGTTTAGCTTCTATAATTGCAACATAGTTGCTTAGAGTGCAGCTCAGAGCTGGGGGGCGGCAGGCAGGGAACCTTGGCTTCCTCCATCACTGGAGCAAGCAAGCCTCCTGTTCACTTTAGCTGCCTGGCTGCCGGCCGCCATCTTGGTTGGCAGTTAATTTGCATATCGCCCTGATTAGCCTATGGGAAGCGTGTCGGAAGTACGGTTAATTACCATGTTTGTCTATTATTAGATAGGATAGGTAACATTTCCTACGGGTTGTAGGAAATTTCCTACGGAAGAAATTTCTACTAAGCTGCTCACCAAAGTCTAACTCCCGCTTTAGAACAACTTGGCAGTACAATTCCTGTTGAAGGAAAAAACTGTGGCCACCTCCTTCCTCCTTTAGGTGGACCTCTGCCACAGTCACCTAGTGAGAAACATGGTTCTTAGCATAAAGCCAAAGACTGGCGGAGGGATTTATTTCCCCTTTGGAGGCAATTAAATGAAGTAGGGTAAAATGGGGACTGCGATTTGGCACTGTCCTTCCTTTGGCCTTCCACCCATAAGCAAGATAAGATATGCTGCTTCCAAGGCCGCTTCTGATAAGCACAGGAAATTCAAGAACTGTGGCTGATTCATTCTGCTGTTGCGAAAGCAGCCATGGGCTCCAGACTGGAAAGAAGACATGCAAACATACCAAGTTAGATGGGAAAGATAGTGAAAAGACAGAGAGAAGGGCTCCATCCCCACAACAGAAAGTAACTTAGGTCAGTACAACCAGAGAACATAGCCATCTCTCTGTAGCTGCTAGGTGGTGTAACTAAATTTTATACACTAAGTATCCCAAGACTTCTCCCAACCTTATCTGTTTAGCATGTGCTGACAATATTCTGTTGTAGCTAAATACTGTCCAACAAATTATTCAAAGGAACCCAGAGTTAGACTCCTTTAGGGTTTTGAGAAAGTAGTAACTGATTTGACAGACACATTTACTTTTCCAGGTTATATTTTGTCTGCCCACACACTTGCCAGTCTCATCCCAACTCTGAAAATATAAATCCACCTTCAGTTTTTCCATCATCCTTACTGCCTTTTCAGTAACAGAACAGCTTCAAAATACTTGTGTAAACCTACTGCCCACTTCCTCCTTAAACACATCCCAGAACCAACTCTGACCCCCTTTGCTTCCACTCAAATAGCAAACACATCCTCTACCATCACCATCATTTTAAAAAACTGGTCAAATGTTAAGATTTTTTTCACTATTTGATTCCCAAGTTCTTTCTTCTTTAACCTTAAAAAGGTAACAGAGGACTGCCTGGCCAGAGTGGTTCAGTTAGTTGAGCATCGTTCTGTGCACCGATGGGTTGCCAGTTCGATTCCTGGTCAGAGAACATACTAGGGTTGTGGGTTCGATTGTCAGGGCATGTGAGGAAGGCAACCGATGATATTTATCTCTCACTCTCTCTCTCCTCCCCCCTTCCTCTCTCTAAGCATGTCCTCCGGTGAGGATTAAAAAAAAAAACGTAGCACAGGACTTACTAGGAGTACAAGGCAGAGACTGGAAATACTTGCACCTTTCATGGTCCTATAATCTATTCTTTTGACCGAAAAAAGGAAGGATTATTCCTCTTTGCTGCAGCAAACCTCAAGCCTAGATCTTTTCAGACTTTCAGCTCTGCCTGAGTCCAGACAAATCCAGAGGACTCACCTGAAAAGCATGCTCTGGTTAGTCTGTGTTCCAGTATCTGTCCCTCTCCCCAAAGGCAGAAAAGCAGTGATTACAGTTTTCCTATTCATCAAACTACTTCCTTCTCACTTTCCTCTGTCCTTTGGAGACTTCTTACAAAGCAGTTCCTAGTACCACTGGAAACGATTACTCTCCAGGAATACACAACTTTGCTTAGCAAAAGAGCTTCACATTGAGCAATTTGCCAGTGGTTGATTTTTCATTCCAGATAAGGCTCTAAGCCTGGCCCAAACTGCCTGTCCCTCAGCAACTCACCCAGCTTCCCTCCCCTAATCTCTGCCTGGAACTCACTCACCCATTCCCTGCATTTGGTCACAGAAAAACAGCAATGACTACTCAATCACTGCATTTTAAAAGCCTTTTCTCAGACTCAAACATGTCTTCCGCTTCACACTGCTATGCACATAACAAACAGAAGCACCAAATGAAGTCACTCACCACAATAGCAGCTCCCAGATAAGACAAGGATAAAACATCTAATCTTTCCCCGGCTCAATTACAGTCCGCTTCACTTTCCTGCAATTTTGCAGTCATGCATCACTGGCCCCACCCTTATAAACTCATGCCCTGAAGTCAGAAGCATCATACCACCATGTTGAAGAACATGTGCTTTGGCAGACGGGCCTGGTTCGAATCCCAGGTCTGCCTCTTACTAAAAATAAAAACTGCCTGCCCTTCAGTAAACTATCTTTTCTCTCTAAACCTCAGGTTACACATCTGTAATATGTATCAAATAATCCTACCTACTTTATAACAAGTGATTGTTGATAGTCAATATCCATGGGGGTAATCTGTGAGCAAGCATAGGGACCTCATAGACTCCAGATGCCCTGGAAGCTTCCAGAATTGGCAGAAGCAAAAATATGTTCGGCCTCATTCCACTCCCACCCCACAAATGAGAGGGTCCTTAGCAAAGGAAAAAACTCAGAGATCCATTCAGTGTTGCCAATCCCACCACCAGACCATCAGGCCATGCTTTGCTTCTATGCTAAAGGTAAAGATCAGTGCAAATGAAAAAGCTAACGAAAGAGGAGCCTCTTCCTGGGTCAGGTCAATATTCCAACAAAGGGAAAATATGTGCACCCTGGAAAGTCTCTTCTCATTCAGTTTCTGGTAAATTCTGACTCTCCATTTATGTACAAATAAAGGGGGAAAACAATACTGAAAAACCCTACGGATCTCAACTGGTGGCAGAATATTATCTAAGAAACGAATACATGAGAATTAGGGGGGAAAGGGAAATCTTGAAATCTAATTTACACACACACAAGCTGAACGAGCATTTTAATTCTTGTGAAAGATCATTAAGCCAAGAAAATAGGATGTTCTTTTCAACTTTTCTACCACAGCCAAAAACCTGTGGGAGCTTTGGGGGGAAAAAGTGTCATAAAGGGATATTATTTTTTGCTGCTCCCAAATGGAAAAGTCCGAAATTTAATCTGGAAA